CTGCTTCCCCAGGTGAGACCGTGAGGACCTGCATCCACCTGGGGGGACTGAAGTCACATGTGTGGAGCAAAAGCAGCTTGAAGATTCTCTGCTGAGTGAGAGGGATTCGCAATGTGGATTCACCCTCAGCGGGGCGATACGGTCCTCAGAAGATGGAGGGCAGCTCTGAGTGACAGAGACCTACTCATGGAGGCGACTGGATTCTCTTATTCCGTGAATAAATAGAGAACTTAAGGCCGTGAAGAAGGTTTGGTTTGGGTGTATGAAGGCCACCAGTCGACAGGTGTGTGGAAATACACAGCTGGGACTTCTCAGAGCTTGAGCCATGGACTCATTTCTGGAGACTGTCACCGAAGAAGTGCGCTGGGTGACGAAGTAAGCATGAGGGAGGGACATGCGCCTAGGATTGACCGTATTTTCCGGGGAGAGGTTGAGAGGAGGAACCTGTGAAAGTAGCAGAGAAAGAGGCCAACAAGTTGGGAAAACAAGACAAAGGCAGTGTTATCAAAGCTAGGTGGGACTGGCTACAGAATTTTCAGGGCCCACTGCAAAAGAGAAAAACAAAAGTCCTTAAGGATTTTAAGACAACACAGCAGAGAATTAAATCAAGCACGGGGCCCCTTCTGAGCCTAGGGTCCTGTGCACCTAACTCTACAGACTGCACACTCAGGAAGCTGGCCCCAAAGCCAAGAAGTGTAAGAGATCCAGAGGAGGGGCCATGTCAAGGGGGGTGACGTTTGAGAAAAAGCTGTTGGATTTGATTATTTCAAGGTCACAGTGATCTTCGAGAGTAGAATTGCGGGCCATAAATTTGATCATAAGGGGCTGAAGAGCTGATGGCTCAGAGACAAAGTGGAGACTGTGACAAGGTAGGGGTTTGAAGAGATGGCCCGTTTTCAAGGAGAATAGGCACAATCACATTTACTGGCTCGAATCACAGGAGCAGGGAAAACTGCAGATGCGAGAAGGGGGAGTGTGGGAGGGCACGAGGTTTGGAAGTGGCAAACATGTGATTAACAACAGAGCGGGAGACAGAAGTAGCTTTGGAAAGTCAGCCCCTGGCGGGGGGGGGGGGGGCGGTAGGAGTGGGGGGGGCCCTCTGGAGCAAGGAAAGAGAGGAAGCAGGAAGATACAAAGAAATCAAGAGAGAAAGGGCACTGTCACACTCTCTAGGTGCACAGACTCTATCATCCTGGAAGGTTTCAAGGATTTGGATACATTTATCCCATTCAACAGAACCAGGACCAACCGCTTTAAATGGAAATGGGTTAATTTTGGGAAAACCACTCTCCGTGTTTGTGTGAGACATCAATTTAGAAAGCATTCCTGCTCTAGTTTGAAGACATGGGATTTAGTTAGAACCAACCGTCCGTGGAGTGTCCTGCTTCTGAGGAGGTAAATTACAGCCTAGCCCTCTTTCATGGTGCTTAGAAAAAAATGACTGCCAGCAACTTAGTTTTTTGAGTGTCTTATCCCTTGTGCTTTGTTTCTATTTATTCTTTTGTACTTGTTCAATTCTATTACAAGGGAAAACATTTCACATATTTTCACCCCAAATTTTATTCTTTCTACAGAAATCTTGCACAATCGTTTTCTGCTTCATATAAAAAAAAATTCCCTCCAGGATTTTTGAATCGCAGTTATCAGAAGTAAACAAGCAAACAAAACACTTGTCTAAAAGTTTAAAGAACATATAAAAATTCCCTTCTTTTTTTTTTTTTTTGTTCAAAAAGGCAAACATATTTGAATTTTTAAACACCCAAGACTGTAAGCCAACTGAAAGGACCACCACTGTTTAGTGAAGCATGAAAAACAGGATTTTAGAGTTGTGTCAGTTCTCAACTTCTAATTTGTGTGAAAGAATCTTCCTGAACTTTCCCTTTCCATACCTAGTAATTAAACCATTACTCTGACTGGAGCAATTAGAGGTGAGTATTTTATAAAAACAAAAGTGATGGAAAAGATTCTACACATGAACACACAACCAGATTAGGAGGTTCTAGCAGCAACAGAACAACCACAACAAAGGACTCAATTTGAAATCACAAAGGAGCTTAAGACAACACACTTCAACTAAAAACAAACACACAGTGGAAAACAAAAACAGAAGAAGATCGTATTACTTCACTCACACAGATAGCTACATAACTCTCCCTTAAAGTGGAGACATGGTCCCATCTGTATTAAAGTTTTGTCCATTGTGGGTTAATTTTTGCAGCTAAATAAGAATGTAACCTAAGCTTTTTGGTGTTTTATTTTGAAAATGAAAAGTTAGCATGGAGTCTTCGAGAAATAAGGATAATTGAGAAGGAACTTGGCCTCCGAGAAATGTGCTCACTCGGACATTAACATTCTGTTGAGCCTCTACCTGTCACTTCTTAGAGGGCGGGTTTATCCATTTTAGCCCAAAGGGCTTTGACCAATGGGTAAGGCAGCTTCTTGATAGGAAGCACATAACTTTTTAAAAATGGTAACGGGATAGATATTCTTAGAAATCTGTTGATTTAAAATGCTTCCCCCTCTCCGTCCAACTTTGTCGAAGTCCTTGTAAATTTAACATCGTCCTTTGAAACAACGGATTCAACTGTAAAGACTTGAAAGTTAGATCTCCTATCCAGCACGTTTTAAAATAACAGGCACTTGGCTGTTCAGCAGAGACTTACTGCTACAGTTTACACCTTTTTGAGAATGTGTGTTTATACAGAAAATCTGATGAATTCTGACAACTGAAGCAGTGATTCCCAAACTCAGAATTGCCTACTTGGCTGCTTACTAAAATGTCGATGTATTTAGGCATCCAGCCCACCCCCCGAGATTGAGTCATATATTTTTTTTCTTTTTAACACCTGGTTCAGGAGATTTTGATAAGGTGGTGTAAACTTTTTAAAGAAATATAGTTCACTAAAATTCAACTTTTATGTATTGGATCTGGCTCACAGTTCTTTATAAGAGTGAGTCAAGTTGGGGGTAATTATTAACTAACTCGTCTTAATCAACAGGGAAGTGACTTTAAAAAAAATTAACAGACTTTGTTTTTGAGCAGCTTTAGGATTATACAACAATCGAAGAGGAAGTGTCCCCTCACTGTCCCGCTTGCCCCAGTCTCCTCTAATGTTAACACGTTGTTTTAGTGTGGTACATTCGTGTTAACTGATGAGCCAGTATTGGAAAGTGACTTTGAAATGACATGGCCAAGGCCGCGCAATACATGAATGGCTGGGTGGATGCTGGGAACCAAGCCACACCCACACCCTCGCCTAAACAAGCGGGCTGGTCATTTCTCCTGAGAGATGTTCTGTACAGATTAACGCCATAATGACTGTAATTGTTTTGCGCCAGCATCTGAGCACAGGTGGCAGCAAGGCTCATTTGACTAAGCACTTTGGCTGATGCCTGGGTCCTGGCTCCATCTTCATTTTCCTTGCAGCCCGGGACACAAGCTTCAAGGGCTCCAGTATGTCAACCTGTGAACCAGGGCACTAGCATATCACGTGATCACTAATCAGTTGATACTTTGACTCTTTCCAAAGGCAAGTGGGGTGGGTATCAGGGTATTTATGCTGGAGCACTGTCTGAGGTTCGGGTTTCAAACACTCTTGGATTTTCCCATAGGGATTAAAAAAGGATGCTTCATCCATTCATTCTGTAAGTCAGGCAGGGGGTACACATTTTAAAGCACAGCTTCCCCCTGTTGAGGAGCTTCTGTTCTCCCAACTGAAGGAGAGACAGGACACCAATAAAAAGACCCTTAAAACATACAGTTTCCTCAACAGTCTTAGGAATAAGGCACACCAGGTGGTTAGGTGGGGCTGGAAGCTGGATGAGTGGCCTGGCGTTTTGGGAAAGGCTTCCCCTGGAAGATGTGACTTTCTGACTTAGGTTTTCAAGGATAAGTAGCAGTTGGCAAATCCCCTGGAGAGAGCTTCTCACACCACTTGTGGTGAAGAACCAGTCCTTTTTGTTTCCAATTTGCCAGAGACCAGTGGTAGAGCCCTGCTGTGCTAGGTATGATTCACCACCCGGTCTGACACCACCAAAACTGGTTTATACTCAGTTCAAAGAGTCCACCGATCATTCGCTTGGGCTGTTGTGGCATTTTTAAATTGCTACATAAGTTCCTGAACCTTGGCTCTCAGTTTTTCTACCTGTTACAGACGGGCTGCAGTTTGCAGACCAGCGAAGGGCCAGCTGACACCCTTTGAGGGCACCTGGAAGCTTGTGGGAAATGCCCCCACTGAATTCCAATCTGCATTTTGACAAGATTCCCAGGTGATTCCTGGGCATGCTCAAGTTTGAGGACCTGCCCTAGAGGAAGCAGTTATCAGGTGGGTCTGATCCTTCATCCATCTCCCCTGCCTTTGCCTGCTTCCTTTAGGTCTAGGACAAGGATACATTTTTTTTTACCGTGCAACTGGTCTTGTCCTCTTCCAGGTTACAAAACTGCATTTTCCTGCTGCTAGGAAAACGATCTTTAACCTGACTGCAAGAGAGAAACTCAACACGGGAAGGCAGCTTCCAGAAATTCTGAGTAGCCTGCGTTCCCCGCTTTGATCTGGCCCAACAGCCGGGGCAGCTCGGCTGACCGCGCTTCCCTCCCCGGGGTCGCTCATCTGCCGAGCTGCATTAATGAGATCCGTGTTGAGCCCGTTCCAGGGTCCGCTGAAGATCAAAGGCACAAAAGAATCACCCAACCCCTCCTCCCCGGTGACTATTTGGTCTCAATCACCAGAGGGTAGAGTCAACTCCCCCGCCCACTCCTGGGTGGGGAGGCGGGGACAGGAGGAGGTGCAGCCCCAGCCTCGCCTTCCCCTTCAGCAGCGGAGCCCGCGCGTCCGCCCCAGGCGGAGTGGGCAGGGCCGGCCCTGCGGGAGCGCGGGGCGGGGTTGGCTTTGGGCTGGGCTCCTGGAGGGGTGGGGCGAGGCGGGAGAGCTGGGAGGGCCGGCCGGGTGGGCGGGGCTCAGCTCCTGGCGGGGCGGGACGCGGCGAGTGGGCGGGGCGAGTGCTCCCGTCTGCAAGTCTCGGAGCCGCGGTGAGCCGGCTGAGCCCAGGCGCCCGACCCCTCACCGCGGCGGCGCTCGCGCGGGGAGAGCCACTCCGGGCTCGCTTTGTGGCCGCTGTCCCCTGTCGCGGAGAGCGCCTCCGGCCGGAGCGCAGAAAGAGGGGGCGCGCTCCTAAGACCCCCGCCGCCCTCCCCCAGCCCGGGGGAAGAATGTGTCACCAGCTGTTCTCCGCGCGCGAGCGCTGCGCCCAGAAGTAAGAAACTTGGAGGCAGGGAGACAAAGGCTGCCGTTGGACGGATGAGTTAGAGACTTGGGTTTGGGCAAACAAAAGGTGCGAAAGACGAGAAGGGGTTAAGGCGATGGCAGCGGGGGAGCCCCGCGGGCTCGGGTTCCTGGGAGTCGCGCCGTGACACGCATGGTTTCCCCGGACCGTCTGCTGGGCTGACTTCCGCGAGCCGGACGCGGGACTCGGGCAAGTTGGGGAGCGCCCTGGAACAATGGACAACTTCTTCCCCGAGGTGAGTGCGCTCGCGCCGGCGACCCTGCCGGGACCCGGCCCCGGCGCCCCGGGGGGGATCTGCCCGCCGCGCCGCGCGCTCGCTGGGGATCCTGCCCTAAGCCCGGGAGGGCGAAACTTTCCGGGAGTCGCCTGAAATCACCCCCCCCAACACCCCCCCCCCCCCCCCGGGCAGTCTCCGGATGAGTAAGCCGAGGCAGGTTTTGTTTGGTCCCGCGCTCCGGGACGTAGAGAAAGGTGAGCCTCCTTCCGCGTGGGTGGCTGGCTCGCGGGATGTCCCCGCGGCGCCCCGCGCGAGGTGGGGCGACGGGGCCCGACTGCCTGGGTGCGGGAAGCCCAGGAAAATGTTCAACGGGGACGTGCCTTTCTCCAAGAAAGTTCTGTTCTGGTATTTCCTTTGCAGAACGTGCCGGCTTCCTGTGAGAGGGGCGCAAACCCTTCCAGAAGAGACGGTTAATGAAGTGCGAGAAGGCAGGCGAGGGTTTAATCATTGACTCTGTTCTCTGCCTGCGGGACCTTTGGAGTCTAGGTTGTAGTTCTCCCCAAGCTGTACTCGCTCAGGGTGTGAGATCATTCCAGAGGGGGAGACCAAAAGATCGTGTACTTGTGCTGACGGTCCTTGGCAGATTTTGAATTCGAATTTAAAGAAAATCGTTTAGAGCAAACAATGATTATTTTGAAAGATTAAACCGATGCCCCATATAGGGTCATTGAGGGCGGGACACCACGGTTACTTGAAAACCCTTGCCTTGAGAACCTTTTTCCCCCCCCCTTCCCTGTGATTGAGAGTTACAGTGGTTTCTTGGCTTCTTGTCCTTTCTTGGTTGTGTTTATTTAATAAATTCTGTTTAAGTTTGAGGTTTGAAGGGGCTCAAAGTAAACTTAGTTGACTTAAGGGAGTCTGTTGTGACTTCCATTGAAAGCCAGGGGATGTTTTGTGAATCCAGGACAGTTTTGGAATCTTCTAGCAAATTACATTGGTGAGGGTTTGCCTCTGTTCGCCAACTTGCTTTATCAGACTTAATGGGATATAATATTTCAAGTTATTCAGGCTTCTGGATGCTTACTGTATTCTCAGACAACTATTTTTAATGGCCAAAGTGATGTATTCTTGTGTCAGTGTCCACTTTTATCAAAAGTGGATATGTGATACCCACATTTGCTGTGAGAGGCAGGCTAGAAAGGAATTAATCATTCATTAGTTCATATTTTTACTTTTAAAGAAATCTATGGTTGAGACTATAGCATTTTTTTTTTTTTTTTAAACTCCTAGACCTGTGTTTTCATGACTGGAAGAAAGCACCAGAACTTTTTACAGGAGTTGCAGGTTAACCAACTTTGAAGGACCAATGGACTGTGTTTAATTGCTTTCATCTGTAAGAAAACCTAGTCTCTGCCGGCAGGACACTAATTCGTAACTTTTTTTGGTTCTGTTTTTGTGTTATGGGTCCCTTGGGAAAGTTCTTGAGACCTAGGATTTGTGTTCGGTTTGTTGGGGTTTCGGTCCCCTTGAAGCCTGTCTGTGGACCTCGGAGGGAGGGGGCTTGTGGCTTCCCCTTGGGAAGAACTCTGGCCCCTAGTGCAAGTGGGGGGAACTGCAGGACAACGTGCGACAGCTGTAATCTGCCCTCAGGTTCTCTCCTTGAAATACTTTTTTCCTTACACCATACTTTGGCTCGGTGTAAGGAGACCTGGTTGTTGTATTTTATTTCAGTGATTAGTATATAATATTGAAGGTGGCCTTTGGCGATCATTTACACCCCTTCATTTCCTAGATGATCAATCTTAACCTAAAGACCTTAAGTCACTTGCCTAACCTTGGGGAGCTTATTATAAAATCCAGAGCCCTTTTTTCTCTGTTGCTGGTGACGTGTACTTTTGGGAAATTTTCATTTATTTAAAGTTATGCTTTTAATCTCGTGATGTATTTGTATTATAATATTTCTAACCAACCTTCAAAGTTCCATCCCTGATTGTTAAATCACTTTGGGAGGCCGTCAAGGCCAGAGAGGCAACATAGTGCTGTATTAATTGGAGACAAACTTGTAACCTAGATCCTGTCTCTCTCTGTTGGTGTCTTAGACCGTCCTTTTGTTAAATTTTGATAAATTATCCAGTAAAGAAAATCATGTGATGTCCTGCTAGAGTAGAAACAGTAAGTGTGGCAGTGATAACGTTTCCAAAACCGTAGGGGCTCAGCAGTAAGTAGTGTCCTGGTAACCGGTGTCTTTGCTAACTTTTTTCATTGTGATTTAGGCATAGTGACTTGTTGCTTGTTGGACAACAGCTTGAAGCGAACACTAGCAATTGGAAAAAAATAAATAAATAAACAAGATGTTGCATGTCTTAGCTTTATGTGCGTATGGCCAGATAATAACAAAATGAGGATTTCTTGTGACGAGTAGCTGTTTAGAGCTGGGCCAGGGTTTCTCAAACTGGGTGCCATTGACATTTGGGGTCAGTTCATTCTTTGTTGTTGGGAGGCTGTCCTTTGCATTGTAGGATGTTGAGCACCATCCCTGGCCTCTGCCCACCAGGTGCGAGTAGCGCCCCCAAGCTGTGACAACCAAGATGTCTGGGGACATTGCCAAATGAGCCACGGGGAGCAAAATCACTCCCAGTTGAGAACCACTGAGCTAGCTCATGGAGCGTTGGTTGCCTCGTGGAATTAATTCCTGTGCGTGTTGTAAGCACAGACTTCTTGCCTGCACTTGCCTGCTTTAAATAGCATCAGGCCTTTTTCTCCTGGCCACTAAGATGCTTGGGAGGCTTGTGCCATCCACTGATGGCCACTGACTTCCAAACGTTCCCCGGTATTGGAGAAACTGAGTTCTGCACACCCCCCAGTAGAGTTTCAGTCCCTTCATGACCTTACACTTTTGTGGCTTCTCAGTTAAATTGTGTGCACGCTTCTGGGAAAACTTGTTTTTTTTTTTTTTTTTCCAGCATTTGGAGGTAAGCTGTTAAAAAGTTTACTGTAGGCAGAAACTAAGTTGAGGTATGTTTATAACCAGAAGCATTTTTTTTATTTTTAAAGCAAACAGAAAAGGCTCAGCCAAGTGGCAAGACTATTTTGCAAACATGTTGTTGATATTTTGAAGTGGATGCTGTTTCCCTGTCCCTGGGGCCAAGTACAGCACTGAGGGTCCTGGAGGGGCCAGTAAGCACCAGTTGAACACATAAATGAGCTTGACTTTTCTGTTTTCTATTTTAGGAATAGATGTGGCCTACTGGCTATTTAAACAAAAGATCTTTTGAGGATTATTAATGGAGCTTACATGAATGCTTTGATTTTTCAGAATATGTAAAATGTACACGAGTATGATCACAAATACAAATATAGAAAGCAGGTTATTACCGTCTTAAGACTTAAATCGCTCATGAAAACATTCCAGCTGTACCTATTTCTTACAACCTGGTTCACTCTCAAGGTGTTAAGTGGAATCCTCTTCCTGTTTCTGCTTAATCTGGGAAGGTGTCTTGGTTTTGGTGGTTAACCTGGAGCTGTTCAAATAGCTTTTTAAGCTGGAAAGAGTTCTTGAGCCTATTTTTCTCCCCTTTTCATGGTATTTTGGTTTGGTTTTAGAACTTATTTATTGTCTTGATTAAAAAAAAGAATTAAGACTTATTTTGGGGGCACCCCATCCCTCCTCCCCAAATCCTCTCTCAAGGACTTCCTTGTTCCACCACGTCCTGAAGATGATCCCTTTGACAGCTATGAAATAGAATCAGACCATTTGCTGGTATCTTCTTTTCTCACAGTGGAGTTACAGTGCCTTGCCTTTTCTGCACACTCTATATAGATTTCTATTGTCAAATATTCATTTTTAGGCCCCTGCCAGTTTGGGGACAGCAGAGCCCCCGGGAGCAGCTGCAAGCCGGACAGTTGTTGCCAGCAGGGAGCCCTGATCTCCCTGCTGGCGGGGAAGGGCTGCTCTCCCCAGATCATGTGGCCTCCTGTTCTCACCTCTCAAATCAGGCACAAACCAGCGTGGGCTGGGCCTTCACTCTTTAACCAGCGTGGAGGCAGGAGAGAGCAATGTTTGCTTCTCTGGTTCTGCTGACTTTGAGCGGGGTCACCTTTAAGGACCTGAGCCTCGAATATGCTTCATCTCTTGAAATTGGTAGGAAATAGGATACTTTTTTTTTTTCATTTGTAACTTTATTTTTTATTGAAGTATAATTAACATACGGTGTTATTAGTTTCAGGCGTACAATGTGATTCAACAATCCTCTGTGTTACTCGGTGCTCATTGTGATTAAGTGTACTCTTGATCCCCTTTTTCTCTCTGTTAGGGATACCTTATTAATGGGTTTCAAAATGTTGCATTCAGAATAACTGCTACATAACATTTTCATGTCCCCTGCAGGGAACATTCAAGAATGAGCAACCAGTGACCTCTGTATTAAGCTTGACAGTACTTCTCCGTGCCTAAATGCCCCTAGTTGGAATGAAAAGAGCCTCATCCTTAAAAGTAGAAAAGATGTGGCTTTTGGAAACCCGGCTACACCCCTCTCCCCTGTGGGATCTTGGGTTTTCTGACCTTCCTGGGCTTTATTTCTGTGGGCATAATCGTGTCCACCTTGCGTGATTATTAGAATTTGAGATAAGATTTATTTGGCACATGGTAGGTGGGTAATAAGAGATTAGTTATAGTAACTAAGAGCGAGTGGCTCTTGATGGTGAATGGAATTCCAGTATTCAGTGGTGCAGAGAGACCTTGGCCTTAGAGCTGTTCCCCAGTATCATTTCTTGTGCATTTATTAATTTTCTCCCTTTCACCCAGTACACTCTGGCACATTTTACCTTTCCAGAATTCTGTCTGAAGCATGTCCGTATTGCTAATAAAATCAAACTCACATTCCTTAGTCTGATTTTCCAGGCCCTCTGATCTTGCAACTCTTTACTCTTTTTTCCCATGTGAATGCTACTCCAGAGGATCTCTTACTGGTCCTACTCCATGCTTTTGTGCACCCGTCCGCTCTGCTGATCGGATGTCC